ATGTATAATGAAGAAATAATCATTGTATGGTCTAGAGCACAAAGCATGGGCTGTGACCCCATTTTGATGGGGTTGCCTGTACAGAAGCCCCAGCCCAGAGGTCTACAGGCAAAGGGAGCCTGAAGATCCATCCAGCCCCCCAAGTTCCCAGGTGGCCCAGGGTCAGAGGCTGAAGCCACAGCCAGCCTGCATTGCCCCTGGAGGCAGAAGCCCCATCCAGTCAACATCTCCTGAGGCAGCTGAAGCCTCAGCCTGCAACTATGCCTAAGACTCCCTGGGCAGGGCTTCAAGCCCAAGCAGTTTAGTTTGGCCTCCTCCTCATGTGCTTGCAGCTCTGTATTTGCCCTGGTTTTCATCCCCTGCAGGTCCCCTGCCTCATTTCCGGTATTGAGGTACTTGGCAGCCCACTCAGTACATGCACTGAAACCATTTTGAAAAGTTGATATAGAAGTAATTTTAACAATGAACCATTTTCTGAGGAAAAGTGAAGGAAGTGGGAGTAATGAAGAGGAGTCAATTGCCAGATGCAGCAAAGGATGGGCGGACAAGGATTCAGTAATAAAAAGCCAAGAATCCACGAATATGATTCAAAATATTTGGAATATGGATTTACATAAGTGTGAGGTCAAGTATGATACAAAATATTTGGAATATGGATTTACATAGGTGTGAGGTGTATGGCGAAATGTTTGCAGAGGAGGGTTTAAAGCCATCTCAAATGTTGCAGAACTTGAAGACATGGGCCCAATCGTCTTTTTAAAAAAAGATGTTCGTTTGTTTTTCTAGTGAGAGCTAAAGGGCCAGACATCAGTACTGAGAGAGGCAGGTAAAGTAAGTGAGAAAGCTCTTGAGGCATCTTTTGCTGCAGTGTACTGTATAGTTAAAACTGTGATGCCGCATGCAATTGGAGAAACATTTTTTTACCCCAAGAAAGTGGGGCAAGGCGCATTGACTCAACTTGATTCGATTCCTGTCTCTAACATAACTGTTGCCAGACACGGTCACAATATGGCAAATGATGTGAGTGAAAAGGAGATTGTTTCATCAATTTAAACAGGGGGAAAAGACTTTGCTTGATTTTGGCAATTGGTACTGCTCAGTTTCTGACACGCATACAATTTGAGAATGACCAAAAATTCCAAGAAGGGTTTCTGTTCTGCAAACCATTATCACAGTGTGGTGCAGGGGAACAGCTCTTTGCACACGTGACTTTGTCTCTGATTCTGGCTTGGAAAGGCAGCACTGTGCAGGAATTTGCAGTGACAGTGTTCTCACAATGACTTGAAAAAACAGCAGGCTAGTCACCCAAGGGCAGACTTCAAGCAGTTTGGGCTCACCGTATTATACACAGTCAAGCCCCAGTTGCAAAGAAATGCCACCCACTGTAAAATGAGTTCTTGAGGAAGCTGTTTGAAGAATCCATGTCATCGAAAGTAGCGCAACAAGTGTATGTCTAGAGCTTTGTGTGATGAAATGGGAGCTGAGCACCACCAGTTACTTTACTGCACAGCATTTCAGTGTCTGTCTCAAGGAAAGGTTCCCAATCATTTGTTGAGCTGAGCTCAGGGAGGAAATAATTCCCATTGGCCAAAAAGTTTGCAGATATCAAGTGGCTTACTTTGCTAGCTTACGTGGCAGACATTTTTGAATGCCTAAATGTGTTGCATGCTTCTCTTCAAGTACAAGACAATTCTGTCTTCTCTTTTGCAAAGAAATTGAAAGTTGGATCACAAATCTTTCCTTGTGGTGTGCTCATATGGACAGTGGCAGTTCGGATGCAGTTTGTTACTGGATAACTTTGGAATGCAAGTGCCTTGCCAAAACATGACCTGCAACCCATTATTATCAGTCACCTGAAAAGGCTTAAGTTGCAGTTTTGGGAGTGCTTTCCTGAAAAGGATCAGAAAACAGAGGTGTGGATTAATGCAGAAGGAACTCCAAGTGCTGTTATGTCACTTCCATTAAAGAAACATTAATGGAGCTTTCCTGTGATGAGACATTGATGCTGAGATTTTCTGAACAATCTCTTGCTAATGTCTGGATTTCTGTGCATGTCACCTGCAGCTTTGAAAGCCCTCATGCCATTTTCTTCCACCTACCTGTGTGAAGCCAGTGTATCAGAACTGACTTTAATGAAAAACAAATATAAATCTCATTTTACTATTGAAGATGATCTCCAGCTTTGCCTCAGCCACCCAGAATCCCCCTTCAAGGATTTGTGCTCATCAATGAAAGGTGACCCCTCATTTATTTTTATGCAAATTTACTTTTTACTGCTGGATATAAAGATTGTCTTGTAAATTAAAGTATTTCATTGATATGACATGTCATGCATTTTTTATTTAAAATATTAGCTATTCTGAGTAACACAGGGCACTGGGGTTGTGCAATAATCTCTCTTGTCAGAAGGGGGTCACTGTGCAATGAAGTTGCTAGACTAGTAGCTGTTACATACCTAGATTTCAAATAGAAACATGAGTAGCTTGATGTCTGTGAATAAGAACAGCTCCAAAAATTACCAAAGAAGTTGGTTATCAGTAAAGAACTGAGGAAATCCATTTTACATGGTTTGTCTCCCCTTTGGGTCTTTCTCCCATGCTACTTCAAAATTTATCATGTTATGCTGCATCGTTACCTTGGGATCTGTGCCCAAATTAGCAACATAAAAGTGCTGGTATTTCTCTCCTTTTCCCACCAACCCACAGAGAGGTCCTCGCACAAGTTCCCTTTGCCCAGACCTCCAACACAATCAGTCCTAAGCCCTTCCTTTTCATCTCCTTTGCCCTTATAATAGTTGTGTTATAATAATTGCTGACAGTTTGCACCCTCCATCTTCAAAGCCCTGCAAATGTATAAGTTAAGGAATTCCCTTTTCCTCCACAGAAAGGCCGGGAGGTCTAGAAATGTGAATACATTCAATATAATGTACTAAGCTTTCGGCTTTGTGGCATTTCTTTCTTCCTTGCATTATTCTCCATTTCTTTAGGTCTTTCTCATCATCTGCCTGCTTTCAGGTTTTCCTATTTGTTGCTCCCTTTCCTTTTCTGGCTTGTGCTCTCAGTTTTCTATTCACCTGTCTGTCACTTCTTTCTCTTCCCCCTTGGCCCTGAATAAATCACTCTGCCCAGTTCTGCTGCTCCCTTTCTTTCACTCTTTTCGTGGTCTAGGCACTTGCTCTCACACATTTCAGTGTATTTCCCTCACTTGCTTGTCCTGTTATTTACCAGGCCTCATTTTCCATCCGTTCATTGGCTGTACTGATTGTCTCCCTATTTGCTTTACATGTTCCCTCCTTTCCTACCTTTTAACCTTTCTTCTGTCCAGCTCTTTCTCTTCCCTATATCCTTTGTGCTTCTGGTTAATCAGCCCCTTCCAAATTATATATCTAGGGGCCCCACCAAATTCATGACTATGAAAAATACATCATCGGTCATGAAATCTCATCTCCCCCTGTGAAATCTGGCATTTTGAGTGCTTTTACCCTATGCTATACAGAGTTCACAGGGGAGACCAGCATTTCTCAAATAGAGGTTCTAAACTAAAAGGGAGTTACAGGGAAGGTGGCAAGGTTATTTTAAGGGGAGTTCCTCATATTGCCACCCTTAGGTATGCATTGCCTGCAGAGCAGAAAGTCAGGTGTTGGCCAAGCATCCAGCTCTGAAAACAGCTTCCCACCACCAGTAGAGCAGGAATAAGGGTGGCAATACCATACCATTCCCCTTTACTTCTACACTGCTACCTTCAGAGCTAGATGGTCACAGCATGGCAGCTGCTGACGGAGGGCCCAGCTCTGTAGGCAGCAGTGCAGAAGTAAAGGTGGCAATACCATTCCAGGCCATCCTTTCTTTTACGGTGCTGCTGGAGGTGACTCTACCTTCAGAGCTGGGCTCCTGGCCCTGCTTTGAAGACAGTGCTGCTGCCACAGTAGTGCAGAAGTAAGGATAGCAGTTCCGCAACCCCCCTAAAATAATCTTCTGAGCCCCAAGCTCCCCTTGTGGGCCAGGACTCCTACAATTATAGCACCAGGAAAATTCAGATTTAAATAATTGAAATCATGAAATTTATGATTTTTAAAAACCTATAACCATGAAATCAACCCAAAATACCTTGTGAATTTGGTAGGACCCTTTCAGTTCTAATGTTCTATGATTCTATCCCAAGGGATCCATAGTGGATTCCTGTTCTGCCTTGCACCCTTCCTCTGCATGCCCTCTGACATTAGGATTCTGCCTTAACGCCTACATTCAGGCCCCTCTGTGCTTACAAAAGGCATCCTTTGTGTTATTTTGCCATTTGCTCCTTATCTTTGCTGTAACAAGACAGTGTGAGGTACTGTAATTGCAGTAGCACAAGTGGCATCTCCCAGACTTTGCACCGGGATGCCTGTCAGTGGTGGAGGTCGGTAATGATGGGCTTCGTGTGAGTTAACAATGTGGAAGTTATGACTGAGGAGAAGTCTGTGCCCACTGCTCTCCTCAGGAAAGCACTTCTCAAAAGTTTGGCAAAAGGCAAAAAACTCCAAACTCCAGCTTTCTGGCTGCCTTCACCTTCCTCCTGTCTCTGACCAGCTATCATCCTACTCTCTCACTCTCCTAAGCCAGCAATCTCATAGTTATCTACCTCAACACCCTTTCAAGTCCCACCCTTTGCTTTAAGATCTGTGGAATGTAGGAAAAGAAGCCACAGGAGGCGGAGGGGGGCAAGGGCTTTTCAAGGGAGAAGAGCTGGGGACAGGGAGTCTAGAAGCCACAGCCCAGCCATTCTGTACATTACTGGGCCACCTTGCCTAGCACAAGGCCAGGACAGCCAAAGATGGTACTGCTTCCTGTCTCATGGGCATGCCTTACCAGCATAGTCTGATCCAGAATGAGCCCTGTCTGAGGGTTCAGTTAAGCAATTCCATGCTGATCTGACTAAAAGGATCGATAGTTGCCTCCACTACAAAAGTAGGTAATTTCTCCTGCCTCTGTAACATGCTTGCTCCCCTGCTGTCATTGCAGGCCGTGGCCTCTGTTCTTGCGGGCGATGCATTTGTGAGGACGGATGGTTTGGAAAGTTGTGTCAACATCCAAGAAAGTGCAATATGACAGAAGATGAGAGCAAAAGCTTTTGTGAATCAGCCAACGGCGTATTGTGCTCAGGAAAGGGTAAGCAAAGCACTGGTAGCTGAGCTACCCTGCATCACTCTTCTGGAAGATTAAAAATGTATGGGCGTGGGCTGTTGTTTAGTAACACTTTCTTCTAAGGTCACCCATTGTTCGAGGGCTGTTATAACTGGCTTCATAATGCTCCTAACCTTGTTATCACACCCACTGTGTCGAACACCCACTATATGCAAAAGCATTTAACTGCTCTCATCCCCGGTGCAATTTGCTAACAGCATGGGATTTCGCAGAGCTGTTTATTTGTCTGTGCCTGTCGTGGGTAGTTGTAGTCTGTGACTAAATTATGCTATTTGATTGAGCACTGCTGAGTGGCAAGGGCTGCCTGTGGCACTGTGGTGATAATAAAGGCAGGCATAGTGCTTCACAGAGCACTGTGGGGTACATTTTGAACAGCAGCACTTGCTATGCTTGTTCAGAAATATCTCTCTCTCTCTCTCACACACACACACACACACACACACACACACACACACACACACACACACACACACACACACACACTCCTAGCTGTCTCCACATCCCATGCGAGGGGGAAGCAAAACTTTGGAAATACCCACAAGCTCCCTTTTAAAACTTTTAAAACATTATCTACACTGTTTGCTTTTCCCCCCAAATCTCCAGCTGGAAGTCCAGGCTGTCTTTATATGAGTCCAGCTGTACAGGTTTGGTATCGAGAGAGAAGTGATTATCAGATGCTTCTGAAATACAGTGAAACTAAGCTTGTTCAGGGTGTTCAATTTATTTCACTGGAAAGAGGGGTTTTGGCTTGCTACAGTGCAAAGCACCTACTTAAAAATACACCTCACACATACACATTACAGCTGAACAATGGGGGAGATGAAACATGGTTCCCATCAGATCTCCTGCTTTCCCTGAAGCTGGAGCTTGCAAGGGCTGGGGAGTGGGAGGCTGAACCAACCTCTTGCATAAGCTACAGCAGCCAGTACCAATTTAGGCCAACTGCAATGGTATCCAGGGGCTGATGTTGCTGGTGCTGGAGTGACTCCACCTGCTCCTGTCATGCCACTCCTTCTCCCATACCTCCCCTGTGCAGACAGGGAGCAGGAACAGCTGGCTGTAAGCTAGCTGGGGGCATTCCTTGGCATCAATTAACAACCAGTTTTAAGTTAGTGCAAAAGGAATGTAAATTGACTAAAGAGCTGGCTCTGTGTGTGTGTGTGTGTGTGTGTGTGTGTGTGTGTGTGTGTGTGTGTGTGTGTGTGTACACACCTCCTGGCTGCTCTGAGAACTAGCCCCTCCCCTTTCTGTTGCTTATTGGTGCACTCGGCTGCTTGCCCCCTTCTGTGACTCAGGGTGCTCTCTCTTTGTGACTTGGCTTCCTGGCCAGCTTGCTGTGTGTTTTCCCTTCCAGAGATTATCAAAGCCTCTCCGTCCAAAATGGCAGTCTTCTTCCCCGCTCCCACTGTCCTGACTCTTCCACTTCCCCAGTAGCTGGTAGGGGAACCTGGGTCCATCCTTTACTTTGGGTTCTACCTTAGGGACTGTCCAACCAGCAGCCAGTGTCTGCAACATCCTGACTTGCTGTTGTGTTTCAGAGTCTTTGCCTATTCCACCTCTCAGGCTTTCATTCCACCTCGTTCTGGGGAAACCTTTCCTTCAGGGCTGGATCCCCAAGGATTTCTATGCTCCCCTGGGGTTTCTTCCCTTCCTACTCTAGTGCCCAGAGAGTGGCTGAAGACTCCCTCCCTTCCCTACCATAGGCTTCCTGGCTTGATACTGGTTGTGCCTGTTTTTTCTCAGCAGGGCTTCGCCATCACTTTGGGGTCACATAGGCCATCTAATTCCTCTCATTTGTGGTGTGCAGCAGCACAGCTTCATGGGTGATTAATCAGCCCCGCCCAGTCAGAGGCTCAGGGCTCCATGCAAGGAGCTGACTGACTGAGTGGGGCTGATTAATCACCCGTAGAGCTGTGCTGCTGCACATCTTAGAGGGAACACTAGTTGTGGCCTGTTCATGTAATTGACTCCCTTGCCAGGCTCATGTGAGAGGAACCCTCCATCACAGTTATGCTGTTTATTTTCCCTCATCCAGCCCAATACTGTAGAAAATGAGGTCTTTCCACCCTTAAGCAAGCTGCTGAAGGAGGAATTGAAACAATTTCACCATTATTTTTATCAAACATGTGTGTCTTCACCTTGAAATGTGTACAGGAGACCAGTGATCTCATGGATTTATTCCATTTTAACCAGAGACTAAAATTCTTCTCTGCAGAGATGTGGGCCGAGGGTGATTATTATTGGAAATAGTTCAGGTGAACTGAAATGATTAAAAAAACCCAGAAAGCTTGTTATGAGCCTTAATAAGTGTGAACAAAAAAATTGTAATTTTATAGGCAAAACAGTTGAGCAGCTAGTCCTTATTCCCAAGCTCCAGCTCCTGCTCTGAGACCACCTTAGCCCGATCATACAGTCTGACCCTGCAGCTTGAACCTGTTTGTTTGGGGTCAGATCTTCACATCTTGCCAAACTGCATTTAGCATAGAGCCAGGGAGTGGACAGACAAGAAGATATAATGTTGATGCTGGGGCTGGCCAGGTAGTTGGCTGGTCTGCCATGTAAGTTGGAGTCGCCTGATGGTTGCTGTAAGTTTTACCCAGCTGTTTAGGGACAACATTTTCAAATCTGCTTGCCTAAGGCCTCTAAATGGCTATTTAGGCAACAAGTATAACTTCAACTGGTAGAACTAAATCTGGCACTTGCTGCATGAGCCTGTACAGCTGGTGCTAAAAGCCAGCTGCCTTTCAGCTAACGCTGTAGAGCAAACTCATTGGCTACGTCTAGACTGGCATGATTTTCTGCAAATTCTTTTAACGGAAAAGTTTTTCTGTTATAAGCATTTGCGGAAAAGAGCGTTTAGATTGGCATGGATGCTTTTGCGCAAAAGCACGTTTTGTGGAAAAGCGTCCGTGCCAATCTAGATGTGGTTTTGCGCAAGAAAGCCCCGATCGCCATTTTCGCGATCAGGGCTTTTTTTATGCAAAACAATACCGCGTTGTCTACACTGGCCCTTTTGTGCAAAAACATTTCTGGAAAAGGGCTTTTGCCCGAACGGGAACGCCAAAGCATTTGCGCAAGAAGCACTGATTTCAGACAGTAGAACGTCAGTGCTTTTGCGCAAAATCAAGTGGCCAGTGTAGACAGCTGGCAAATTTTTGCACAGAAGTGGCCATTTTTGCAGTTTAGACGCAGCCATTCTGTCCCTGTCTAAGTGGTCTAAGTGCCATGCGGTGGGACACCAGTAGGTATGTGGGTTACACAAACAAGATTTTTTTTTTTGTTCAGACATGGTTTTGATTTAAGAGCACAACTCCCACTGAAAGACTGAGCGCCAGTGGAGGCTGTGTGCCAGTCACACTGAATATGTCTACACATAGAACGGATACCATTTTAACTATAAATTATGTAATAATATAGTTAAAACAGGACATCCTGCTAGTGTAGAAGTCGTCATATCTGTCTAATGGTGTTTATACTGGTGTAGCTTATTCTGTTATGGGATGGTGAATAACTATGCTGCTATTGCCAGTATAAACCACACTAGGGTTTTTTCTGCTATAACTAAATCAATCAAAATAAAGTCACCCTCCCCCCAGTGGAAATAGTTTTACCAGGAGATAAAGCTTATGAGTGTAGCCCTGGCCATAGGCACATCTGCAAATTTTCCCCCTTCATACAGATTTGGGACCTTAACCGTAGACACCTACAGGAACAGTGGGTATAATAGGCGGGGGAAAGCATTGCCTTCCCAAACCACCAGCCTGGCCCCACCCATTCTCTGACCCCAGAACACCTACTGTAAGGCCGAACACTGAGAGAGTTCCCTACATGCCAGTTAGTTGTGAAAGAACTGCCTAGTCAGTAGTCCATGCGCTAGTGAGTACCTATATTCCTAGGTATTAAATGTTTCCAGGAATGATGGCCAAGATTTTACAAAAGTGACAACTGATGGGGGGCGGGGGAGGAGAATGCCTCAGTGTTTAGATGTTCAACTCATGATACTCGTTTTCAGAAGATGACTGTTTAGAATTGTCTAAAAATGAGTCCTCTTTCATGTACATCAAATAGGACACCCAATTACTAGTCACTTTTCAATATCTTGGCTCACCGCTTGTAGTAAATATTCTCACCAGGGAAAACAGAAATACCCACCGTGCTGCTGCTTCATCAGAAATAGCTGGAGGGCAGCAGATGGTTGCTGTGACTATGCAGAACTGAGGTTAGTCAGGGAGACAAAAAGGATCTGGCCAGAATTACAACAAAAACTACTCTAACTAATTATCCTATTTTAAATTAAAGTGTAGAGGCTCCCAAGGCATCATGCTGTCTGTGTGCAGGAAAGAGTTTAGTAACATACTGAAACATTATGGAAGCTGAATTTTTAAAGTTCTGGTTACATGTTACATTTACAGTATTATGTTGCCTTTAATAAGCCTTGGTTAGCAGTGTTTCTTGCTAAAATGTACAGTTGTTTGGCTCTTTTTGGCATCAACATGTGTAGCTGTTGGTGTTTTGGAGCTGATGTGGAAATAGAAACACTTGGCTTAAATCAGGCTCAATAACATAATGAAATATAAGATGAGTCAGTACATTGATCTTGAAATTCCCTTACTGTATGTGGTTTCCTTCATGGCATCTTCATGCAATGAATATTTTACCCTTGGAACGAAAGTTAGTTTTTCCCTATTCCCACGGCATAATAGGTAGCATGTTAAATAAATGAATGATAAATGCATGCTAAATCTGTTCCCAAGTCCTATTTGTATATTACAATATGTTGTAATTTAAGACCACTTACCCCTACAATAATGCAGTAAATTAACTCTGATCAGCCTAAAGTAAATCAGTGATTGTTACATTTTAAAGAGGGTCAATACCAGTGCTACTCTGAAGATTTTAATGAATAGAAATTGGTTCAACTGATACATAGCACTGGGTTTGTTGTGGAGATTTTTCTGGGGAATGTTCTACAATTACACAGCTCAACATTTTAAAGGAAAGTTTCCACTTTGAGTTTTGACCGTGGACCTAAACTTAATGGAAAGATGCAAAATTGACTGCAATCGATTTTAGCTCAGGCTCTGTATAGATTTCTGTGAATTAAGTAACTTTGTCTAAGTTATATTGCATATTCTCTGGGGCAGGATCACGTGTTTCTCTATTTTGTGTTGGTGACACATGTTGGTGACTCCCTATTAGAATACAGAAAGGCTCTTGAAACTTAAGTGGGATTTTACAAAAGCGTCCAAGTAACTTGGGAGCATATCTTATTGAAAGTCAATGTAGCCTATATTCCTAAAGCACTTAGGCTTTTTGAAAATCCAACCTGTAGGAATCTAAAACAAATGGAAAACATAGGTCAGAGACTAGCAAAGTGCTGTATGTATGCCTGAAGCACCTTGGGCCATTTTTCATCCTGATGCAATGTTATTGACTTCAGTAAGGTTGGAACAGGCATGATTTTGGCTCATCTAGCCACAAAGCAGAACAGCTCCAGGAGAAGTAGCCTTGATTGTGGAGCTCTGGAAGAAAAGGGAAACCTCTAAATGTGAGTGCTGAATAAATAAAGGCAGAAATCAAGGCATTACATAGAATACCGCTTTATACTCAGGCTGACCGCTAAAGGATCATTCTATTCAATAAGCTTTTATCTTGATTATCTTCTTTTAGACAATAGCTTGTTAGATGGTAATTGTTCATGTGTCTGAGCTGTTATTTCCCAGCCTGAAAAGTGATGGTGCCCTATGATTGCAAGTAATAATCTTTGTAATTTCAGGTTCCTGTCACTGTGGAAAGTGCATATGTTCACCCCAGGAGTGGTACATTTCAGGGGAATTTTGTGAATGTGATGACCGAGACTGTGACAAACATGATGGTCTCATTTGCACAGGTGCAGTACCAACTAATCCTTAATTGCTCTGAGAGCAGAGTATGCATGAATGCAAAGTTAGACACAACCCAGCAAATTCTCTTTGTTCATTGATGGAAAGGAGGAGCAGTTTCCTATTATTAAAATCATTTTAGCTGTTAAGAGCGTGTTGCTTTGTGCTGTGATGTGTAATCAGTTTAACATTTTGCAAGGAAAACTGAAATCCTAAGCATAAAGACCAATAATTAAATCCCTTGTGAGATTCATCCAAAAAGGGAAATGCTTTGTCTACCACCTGTCCCTGTACGGAAATGAACATGTTTGAGAAGGTAGTGATTCAGTTGTTTCTGTTGCTAGAACCATCTTTACCTCATTTTCTATGATATATGTAATGCATTTACAAACCATTTAGTCTGGTAACTCTTAGTAATGCAGCAGGAGCAGGTGCTTATATTATAATGAGGGGAATAGTCTTGTACCGGGAAGCAGAGATGATTAAGTTTTTATGACGTGTTGGATGCTGACTAAAGTCTTTTGTACCTATCTCAGGGTTTAGATGGCAGATGCAAAGGGAAATGGGTAGATTGCAAACACTTGCTTTTAACAGAGAAGGGAGTAAGAAATCTAGTGACAGCTAGAACATGTGATCTGTTCCATTATCTTGCTATGCATTCTATGATGAAAATCTTAGAAGACAATCTGCAACTTTCCACCTTGAAAAATCTTTGCTTAGTAATGTTCTTTTATTAGCTGTTATATACAGAGGTGGCAGAAGACAGAGCAATGTGTTAGCTTAAACAGAGAATAAACGGAAGGGTATCAGAGCATGAACGATGGAGTTGGGAGCTTCGGGTTCTATTCAAAATCTGCAATTAATTCCTTGGCTGACTAAATTTTCAAAAACGTTGTTTTTGAGTGCCCAACTTGAGATGCCTAAGGCCTGATTTTTCCCTCACTCCACTTGAGTTTGTTATCCACAAGTGATGGAGGGGTTTGAAAGTATTGGCCTTACCCTCTCTGGCTGTGTCTAGACTGCAGGGTTTTTTTGAAAAAACTTCACCTGCATCTTGACTACAGCCGCGTTCTTTCGAAATTAAATTGAAAGAACGCGGCTTTTCTTTCGATGGTGGTAATCCTCATTTCATGAGGAATAACGCCTTTTTTTTTAAAGTGTTCTTTCGAAAAAAGGCGTTCTTGAATGCAAACAGAGCTTTTTCGAAACAGAGCATCCAGACTGCCTGGGTGCTCTCCTTTCAAAAAAGTGAGCCACTTTTTCGAAAGAAGAGCTTGCAGTCTAGATGCTCTCTTTCGAAAGAGGCTTTTTCAAAAGATTCTTTTGAAAAAGCCTCTTTTGAAAGAGGCTTGTAGTCTAGACGTACCCTCTGTGCCTAAGTTTCTCCATCTGCAAAGTAGGGATAATTCCCTATCACAGAGAGATTTCATTAATCTATTTTTCCTCAGCGGAAAAAGGTACTTTTCAAGTTCAAAGACTTATTAAATTACTATTCTCATTGCAAAAGTTTAACTTCAGTTAAAATAGTTCTGTTTTTTTCCTTACACCTTGAAGTGTTGTGTGAACACAAAGGCTATACGGCAGTGTTATTTTGAAATAAATGATGTTATTCCGAAATAACAAAGAGCGTGTCTATACTGCAAGCTGTTAGCCATTATTTTAAAATATGTCTAGACTACATCCCTCTTTTGAAAGAGGAATGTAAATTAGACATATCAAAATTGCAAATGAAGCCAGGATTTGAATTTCCTGCACTTCATTTGCATAATTGTATTACGGCAGAGGTTTTTTGAAAAAAAAAACTCTATCTCGAAAGTGAAACAGTGGTCTAAATGCAGTTCTTTTGAAAATAAAAGCCTTTTTCAAAAGATCCTGTAAACCTCATTTTTTTTAGGAGTAAGGGAAGTCTAAGGAAGAGTATTCTTCCTTCAACTTCCTGCTGTGTAGATAGCACCAAAAGCCGAATTAAGCTATTTCGACTGAAGCCAAGCAATTGACGTGGCTCAAGTTGAGTAGCTTAATTTGACTTTTGCCCTGCTGTGTAGACATGCCCGAAAACAGCATAGAAATAGGTTGGGTCCACCCCATGTTGGAATAATTGCATTATTTATTATTCTGCTGATGGAACTGCTGTAAACATACCATTAGTTGTTTGAAAATGCAAGGTTTTGGTGGCGGCTTAATCATATGTAAAGACCTTTCTTTACAAAAAATATGCAAAGGGACAATAAAAAATTTTATTATGGCTTGTTTCTTCACGTAACAACAGTTTGATGCACTGCATTTCAATCATGGTAATTGTCCGTGTTCATTTTGTTCTAGGCAATGGTGTATGTAGCTGTGGAAATTGTGAATGCTGGGAAGGATGGAATGGGAATGCTTGTGAAATCTGGCTTGGGACAGAATACCCTTAATGAGAATATGGAGCACCAAGGACTGATGGGTTTGGTTTGGTTTTTTTAGGCTGCTAGAGCAATTAAATGAAAGGCAAAACACATAGAATAACCACTACAAATATTCAAACAGACTAATGTAAGCTTCTGTATTTCATAATCAACTGCAGGCCTACTTCTGCTCTTAGTAAAATCATTTGCAATACTCCCATTGACTTCAGTGGGAGTTGGACTGACCTTAAAAGTCTTAGGCTGTGTCTACACTGGCGTGTTCTTGTGCGAAAATAGCCGCTCTTGTGCAAAAACATGCCGCCTGTCTACACTGGCCGCGCGTTCTTGCACAAGTAAACTGACGTTGTACTGTAGAAAATCAGGGCTTCTTGCGTGAGAACTCTGATGCTCCCTCTCAGGAAGAAGCCCTCTTTCGCAAGAGCTCTTCCAGAAGAGGCCAGTGTAGACAGGCAACATGAATTTCTTGCACAAGAAGCCCCTGTGGTTAAAATGGCCATCAGAGGTTTCTTGCGGAAGATAGCGTCTACACTGCCATGGATGCTCTTGCGCAAAAGAACATGCCAGTGTAGACGCTCTCTTGTGGAAGAGTTTTTGCACAAGAACTCTTCTACAAAAGAGTTCTTGTGCAAGAAGCTGCCAGTGTAGATGTAGCCTTAAGGTTGAATTCCTGGCTCCAGTGAAAAAATACAAGCTTTATTGCACAATTTACTTTGTTTTAAAATCTTGACACCATTATGTAAGGAAATGGCATACAAATAAAAGAGTAGAGCTGTCTGGATATTTATCAAAAATTGTATATGATGCCATTTTCAGTATTGGTCAAATATATTATTATTATTTGCCTTGACTTTTTTCCTTCTAATTCTGATTATTTCTCAGCTCCAATAACATGGGAAGCTGCAAATTGCTCATTAAAACTAATTATTTTAATTTTTATCAGGAGAACTGCAGTTGCATAACTCTGATCCAAATATGTGAACAACCCCAGAGATTTAGGTTAGCGATCCAAATTATACAACCAGAGCCCATTGCTAGAACAGACACATTAAAAACAAACACTATTGATTTCTGTGGTTAAAATATCTTTAAGCTGGTTATCTAGTCTTCATACTACATTTGCAAATACATAACCTGTAGGTTAAGATTTTTTTAAAAAATCAAGATAAATGAGTTGATATATTTAATAAATATCTTATAACTTGTATGTACTTTTATCATAGTGTTATGTATGGATACTTACCTACTCATCTTAAAAAGAAAAGCACATGGAAATGTAATATTGATAACTTCTAGGATGCCAATTCTGTATGCTTTTAGGAACAGATTACACTATCACATATGATAATAATTGAATCTTACTACTTGTATAAAAGCTGGGAGCCTAAAGGTCAACTGAATTAGAAAATCAGTTACATTGTAGAGCACACTGCTGTCGGTGAAAGATATTCAGATGATGGAAACAAAATCATTTAATTGTGGATTTCAAACAGTAAACAGAAACAATGTAGTGCTATGAACAAAATTTTTATTTCTTGTCAATGGTGAAATGCTGCTCAGTGTGAAATTCACATTGAATTATGAAAAATGCACAACTATTTTGGGACTTCCCTAAGTTATTTACATTTGAATCTTTTATTCCCTTCATGTAGGTTTGGCAGCCCTTTAATTCTTCAGAGCGAAAAAAAATACATACATTTTCTTTTGAAAAGTGATTACATATTGTGAAATACGATTAAATCACAAAAAATTATCAAACATTGCTATTGTTATGTTGTGATTTAGATGTCACGTATCAGGCTTTTAGTTTGATACAAGATTAAGAAATAAGGAACATGTGTAGCAACTTAAAAAGGGTATTTCCATCATTACACTAGAAAGTTGTTTTCTTATTGAAAGGACATTGATTATTTAAATTGGAAAATACAACAGTACAGAACATGTAACAGTTAAAGTGAGAGAGCGTAGAGTGCAGTTATTGAAAGGTTTGAACAACCATTTTCTCCCAATTTAGCTTGCTCTTGCTCTGACCCCATTTTTTTTAAAACATAAATGTGTACTTTTTCAAAGCCCATGTTCTCAGGGAGACATAACCAGTCACCTCTAAATGTCTGTATATGACTTATTAATGGGAGTTCTGCACATTCATAATGACAACTATACCCAAAAGCTGCTACTGCCTCTCTTTAGATAACCAAAATATCAGAGCTCTAAAATCTATTGATACAGGATAAACAAACCTTGAAGTAAAACAAGTTTTAAAATCACATTTTATATTTTATGGTTGTAATCCTTAAAATTGTACAGAGAAGAGTATTTCAATATATCATTTTACCATTTGCCAACGCTAGTCTTTGACTGGCAAACACAAGTTTGTTGGTTTTATTTATATATAAATTAACACAGATAAATGTCTTACACGTGTGGGTACTTCTGAGTCAATGAAAGAGAAAAGGAAATCAAGCTTTATTATGTCCTGCATTTATATACAGTACTTTCTACAACTAACAAAGTAGGAAAATCAATGCTGTTTAGATTGAATAGATACTTGGTACCATTTAAACAAACTAATCAAACAAAGATATAATTTTTGTATATTATGTATGATATTTCAAACAGCCGAATTTCTAGATTAGAAAATGATTCTCTGTAAGGCCATAAATTGCTGGACATCTGCGTGTCATGTAACTTTGGTATATTTTGTTTTACTTTCTGATTTTGTTTGTTTTCCTTTTAAGTTTGTGAACTAAAAACATAGAATTCCAATTTCTAGTAAGACATCATTTAAAATATTGCCACAACAGATTTTTTTAAACTTTCAGCTACTGGGTTGGATTACTGTAATATAGCCCCATTTTTAAAATGCTAGCTAAATTCTTTGACAAATGTAATAGAGTATCTGATTTTAAAATTTGGACAAAACTGGGATTACTTAAATATAAATTATCACACAAAAACTGTTAGAAGCCATATAGTATTATTAAGGGTATGTCTACACAGCAGGGCTAAAATTGAATTAAACTATGCAACTTCAGTTACGTCAATTGTGTAGCTGAAGTCGAATAGCTTAATTTGGCTTGTGGTACTATCTACACTGCAGGAAGTTGAAGGAAGAATGTAGCATTACAGAGGTTGTAATAAGTCATCCAGCTCACCATTATTTTGGAATAATGGCTTGCAGTGTAGATGCGCTCTTTGTTATTTCAGAATAACATCAGTTATTCTGAAATAACACTGCTGTGTAGACATACCCTAAGACTGATCAAAATATAATGGATATCTATTTCCTTTTCCATTTTTTGATGTGACTTGAACATTTTCCCTTCCCATACTGAGAAAACTGGTGATATGAGTCCCAGTACATATTCTATGCAGCTTATTCCCTTTTTATAAAAATAAGACTTGAAGATAAATATTATTGTTCCAATATGTGAAAATTCTGTCTGCCTAAGTTGTGAAACTGTAAAAGTAAAAAAAAGTGGTGCAAGGGAGTGAAAAATATTTCCAGTCTAATTCACATACACTAATTATATCACTGCTTCCAGGTCTTGAGCAAACTGTAATTACGGAGAGAGAAAACTGATTAGATAAGTGTGGATTTTGATGTTGGACACAGACATACACAGCTCTCCATTCATGTAATAAAAAGGGCACCATCTGAAAAGTGCTCAGTACTATTTCTAAGTGCACTCAGCATTTTGTAGGATTGTGTCCACTCTATACAACATCTTCTTGGGTTACAGAAATAAACTTGCTATTCACTGTCTTGCTTGTATATATGATTTAGCAATGGAAAAGAATTACCGGGAGGATACATGATCAAGCTCTCTTTCAGAGGCATGTAGCTAGAGATTTAATCATGTATCTGGTGTTTTCGATGCATTGCCCTTCTCTTCCTGGAATGACGACTCACTTTACATCTAAATTATATTCCGTACTATACGCTGGGAATGAATAAAGCTAAGTTGAATATTTCTTTGACCAGGCCCTAGAATCTAGATTTTAGTATATTTTAAAAAATAAAGCATGAAATCTGCATTAGACATCAGGAAAAAAATCTTGAAATGTACTGTACAGATCATGAATCTATCCAAAGGGGCATTTAAATGTAAATATAATTGTTTTACCATGTCTCATTTTCTTATTACTTTTTCTAACCTGAAGGGAGTTGAACATTTCTAATTTGTACCATAGAACAGATGGATCAACAAGACCTTTAATTCATAGGCTAAACTCACTGTCTACTTAACTGACTGCTCCAACATTACAGCAGCAGAGAATTTGTCCCTCTAGGTGTAAACAGTTGTGAGCTTTACAAGATTCTTTCAGACAAATACAGTCTGAACAAAGGTCTTTTTATCCTTTGTGTGGACTTTTGTTATACTGATCATGTGGATGAAAAATGACAGTACATAAACATATTGATCTGAGCATTGCTTAAAGAACAGGACAAGAAGCAAAAGAGGTGTTAAGTGAGCTGCAAAGCACTTGAGATATCTCTGTAGAATCGAATCTAGTTTTTCATAAACATGACCAGAGTGAGATCCTGTGAGTCTAGAAAACACTTTTCAAGCACAACAAAATTAGTGCTTTGTTCAATTTATCCAGATCTACCTAGACCTGGGGGAGGGGGAGAGAGATGCATGTGTGAGCGAGATTGATACTTTTGAAAATTTTTGCTGAAATAAAAATGAACATTTTGTTTGAGGGAAAATGAAGAGATAATGCACCTCTGCATTATTAATTTACCTGTGCAGTAGTGTGATAGTGAAGAAATTGAGATTTCTTTTTTGGACCATTCTGGGATTAAATAAAAGAAAGGGAGGAACAACACAAAACACTGCATGCAAAAGGTCAGGTATACTGGGGAGTTGCATACATTGGTGTACATGGAAATACAAAACACACAATCTGTAAATATAAATGAATTCATCAGTTTTACTATACAGTACTTTAGTAGTAACAGACAGTTGAAAATAGTTTTCACTTAACAGCAAAATAAATTTTAGAGGGAACAAAATGGTGAAGTCTTATCCTGGAAAACAGCAAGAGAGGTAATATGTCAAGGATCTAAAATTTTCTTTGGCATGGTAAAGGGGGAGATTTGAGTTTGCCAACCTGCCTATATGGTTTCACTATACTGTGGCCAGTGCAATGTCATTTTGCACATTCTACTTGCTAGATAAAGTTGTTTTGTTTTTCAATATGCCTTCATATAAATACTTTATTCAATATGTTGCATCTGTGTATACAACAAATAATAAACACGAACTGTACAATGCAAACTCTTTGCAGATATGTATGTAAATTTAGTAATACATACCAACAGTTCTTGATACGCATAGCCTACTACATGCAGTTCATCATTGCCATCTTCTTCCCATGCAACAGATGAGACAAGAGACAAAATTAAAGGAGTAACCAAAGCACAAATAACAAAGATCCCTGTGCTCTACGTTTAAACAAACTTTAGAAGAACTTGTTTTAAGACATCCATTAAACACCCTTACAGACAACCCATGTAAAGAAACATAAACATGGTGATACATTTACAGTACGTACTAGTCACTTACAAAAATAAATTCAGCCTTGATTGTAACTAGTCATCCGGTTGGCAGAGCAATAGTTGCCTAAGATGTTGAAAATGATAATGGATATGGCCTTGGGACACCAGTCTCAGACAGCTGAAATTCAAAGGGCCAGCATGTGCTCGCTGTATCCTTAGTGTATACCTCCGGCAAGTCTATGGCACAGTCTTACCCTCTGGACTCCACAGAGCCATCGCTCTGCAGTCCAGGGTCCAAACTGGGCAGGTTGGAGACTGAGGGGAAGGAATGCACACAGGCTCCCTCACCAGCCCTGTGACAATTAGTCACAAAAGAGATTTTGTATTATCGTCTCTGCCTGCCTCCTCTCCCAACCTGAAGAGGGAAGCACAGGGCGAGGGAGACGGGGAGGGGGAGGGGTCAGGTCAGTGAGACTCCAATGCCATGACAGAACCAGACAGCCAGGGCAGCATGCTATGTTGATAATCCTGGCCTCCCACTGATCCCTTAGGGGGAGACTTCATAGCCTTTTTTGTTTGGGTGTTGGGAATACCCAAGTCACACCCACCTTGGTAGGATGACATGTGAGGCTCACCATAAAGGGTGTCTTATGGGGATTTTTTTCCTCCTTTAAACTACCAGGTGAAGGGATGATCTGGGCCTAAAGTTACTTTATGCACATTTTGTCACAGCAGTAAAGTAGCTTTGTCTTATGGCAGCATTATAATAAGCTACTTGAACAATAGGCTGTGTTACTTATGAAAACGGAATCCCCATATGGAACTGTATCAACACGAAGAGCTAATGGATACTGAATCAGTATTCAGCTAAGCAGATCAGGAATTTGAAACAACAGGCGGCCTGTCAGAGAGCTCTGTGTAACGCTATGAGAAAATTAGTTTTCCATAAATATAATTGCTCAAAAGGGAAGGATGTATTTCATCATTCTTAGCACAATGATAACAGCAAGAGGCCAATAGAGGGTTGTCACACAGTTTGCCACAACTCAGGTACAGTTTGGTCTTTGTCACTCCTTCTGAGAAGCAAAAGCCTATTAAGCCCACACAGAATAGCCTTGTTTTAGTCTTTTAGAAGTATGCAACTAAATATTTGAAACTCATTACCTACGGCATTTAACACTAGAATGGCATCTTTGCTGTATTGTCTAAAACTTATTACCCCTTTTATTTTTTCTAAATTGGTTTTATGACAGTTAACTGAAGTGTTTCATGAAGCAACTGAGCATGATTCAAGGACTCAATCTCATAATGGGTTTGATTTCCTCTAGTTTCATGTAGTAGAATGTATAATATATAGAATGCAAGGCAAGGCACCATTTATCTAGCAATTTGATGGGAACAGCCTAAAAAGCTGGGTTAGAGGTATGTGATGAGTTATGGATTGAAATACTTAGGACTGGACTCTTCATGCTGGGCTAAAAAAAAAAAAAGTTTTCCAATATGCCCAGTTTAAAAAAAAATTAACACCAAAAATATTAAAGTATAATTTGTAACTAACTTTTGCACTGGCACTGCTAAAAAGAACATGTCATCATCCTTGACCATGCTTTGCTGAGTAAGAGTGGAAAACAGCCAAAATAATGATGGCATTAAATTCAGTTCATTAAAAACAGGAAAGGATTATATCTGAACTGGATTTAGGTAGCGCAATTCTTGTTCTTCTTAATTATTGTTTTTCAAATAATGAGGATTAGTAGGTGAAAAATGAGCCTTAATTCAGGCCTACAAGGCCTACAGAATTCTTTGGACCCACTTTCTCAAAAATTAGTGGGTCTTGCTCGCTGGGCAAGGCAAATGTTACCATTACCAGTAAGCCTGTGATATGTATAAAACACACACACACAAAGAAACTATAGGGGGATGTCAAACACTAGTCTCAAAAAACTTTCTACGGGTTGCGTTTGACACTTTTCCCTCCACAATAATGCAAACCTCAGGAGCACGGTATCTGTTACTAAAGTGTATTCACATTTACCAATATTCTAAGTCAGAGACAATGATCCTAGTCTTCGGAGATATAATTCATAATAGGTTTTGAAGGCTTCCTGATTCCCTGATTGCTTTCAGAACAAAGCCACCTGCAAAAATTACGTTTTAGAGAAACACAATCCCTGCAAAAGGTCACAGACAGTGGAGCAAGCAGCCTTGTAAAAAAGGGAAGAAGAGAAATCCATAATAGCAGAGGTTTACAGCATCTAACTAGAAATTACTTGATATTATCTGTGTGCTACAAAATAGAACTTAAACACATGGATTTCGCTGAAACTGGACTCAAAAAGGGATTATGGGTAACTGTCAGCAGGCAAGGTATCAAGTGTACTTGTGAAGTATGTCATTCACATGAAGTGTCACAGTCACAGAAAAGATATTAAAAAGGCATTCCATATCTGGTAGGGCATTCCATGGTCTGAGTTAGCTGGTTATCCAGGTGTCTTCTTGTTGTGGGAGGAGCTACATGTTGAGATTTATCCACTTGCAACAATTTAGTTCAGAACCAGCAAAGAGCCAGTTTTCACTTGCCTCAAGCTGATCCACCGACACTGAAGTAGGAGAGAGTCCAGCAAGGATAAATTGCTCAACTGTACTCAGAGCTCAGTAAGTCACAACACCTGTGAGGATCTGGCTATGTCGTCTTACTCTTGTTAACTGGTTTGCCTCCATTCATTATTGCAGATGCACTTGTGCTTTTACTTGGAGTTACCCCAGCTTTTGGCACTGTTTCTCCAACATCATGCAAGGATGGTTCTCGATACATGGCAACTAAAAGAAAAAAAAATTCAATGGGATTCATTTTCATACATTCCAAGCTGAAACGGGTCCTCTGTGACCTACTAATATATACAGGCCATAGAACTTTCCTAAAATAATCTTTAGAGCATATTTTACATCATCCTTACAAGAAGCAATGTTTTAATATTTTCTCTGCTCTTCTTTATATGACGGAGCTTAGCTATGTCAAAAGAGACTATTTGAGGACATTAATATCTTTTCCCCACAATCCAAATATCTCTCTTCCTCTGTCACCTCTGACTTACGTGCACAATAGGAAATTGTCCCCCTTTTTAAAAAAATTGATAATGTGACTTGATTACAGGAGCTTCAAAAATGAAAAGCAATTGTTCTTTCTCAATTTGTGCAATATTACAAAATAGTTTGAGAGTTAAAACTGAATTTTCTGATTGATTAAATTTTAAGAATTCTTGATATTTCCTGGTCTATATTATTAAGTTATTTCTTTATCAAATGCCATGAGAATATTATTTTCCATTTCAAAAACTAGAGTGCTGATATTAGAATCAAGAACTTTTCACTTTACTGAGGAAATTCATTTAATCAGTCACTATCATTGATTTTCATATTCCTCTCACAGCCTGGTTAATAGATACCATTCATTCCGCCTTCCCCCATAAATGGCTCACTGGGGGTATTCATAAAAATAAATCTTATAGAATGTTTATTTGAAATTACAACATAATGAGACTAGACAAAACATCATTTATTGATCTTTACTGGCAAGGTGTTACGGATTGCCCCAGAGAGCACACAAAACCACCACTGTACAGCTAGTATTCATTTTTTCCTAAGGTTGCTTGTAATACATGGCAAAGAAACATTTAACACTGATAATTGCTGGAATTTTGAAATGCAGAAAATTCCAAAACTAAAAACTGAAAGTATTGAAGAATTAAGAATTGCACAGTGGTCTTCACTAGAGTCCTAACAATTTTAAATTGTTTGAGGTGTACACACATGTTCAGTTACAAAGTATCTCTACTGAGCTGCCTTAATGATGAATGATGTTAGATAATTGAATTTCATTTTCCACGTCATTGAATCAGGTAATATTTTACTTACACATTACCTGAGGGTAGCATTTATTTATATCACAGCAGTATTAAAAAATAGATGTCAAACAGTCAAAAGAATTAATCATCACACAAAATAATTCTTGGAGAAGCTACATGACAGCATAGTCCCTTCTTCCCTGGACTAATTAGAATAGGAGGTAACAGCATCAAAGCACTGACCTTGATCTTCAATTTACGGAAGTTTCATAATGGATGTGAAAGGCCCGTAACATTATTAACTAATCAAGTGCTTAACTTGTTCTAACATTTGCAATGACATAATCTAAATCTTTTTTATAGCTTTGAAAGTCTGAAATTAAAATTCTTCTCTACAGTATGTAATGCTCGTGATGATCTTTATCTTTAGAGTGCACACCCATGTTTTAGTCTGCTGATTAATTAAGAATCAGACAAAATAGCAATGTGACCTACAAAAATATTAAGTTAAACACCATGTGATAGCAATTAAAGTAAACGAATTACACAGTCTAGCTGTAGTTCTTGATAACACTTTTGGGCAACATAATGTAACTTATTTCTAAGCCTTGCCTACACTCTTTTGATAAAGAATCTGGCCATACAACTATTAATAACTCCAATGGAAAAATCACATGTTCCCTAAACTATATGTACTGTGACTGCTTTTAAAAAATAGAAGTCTGAAAATACATAGCTTTAAGTTAATATATAGGAGTTTACACGTGTAAGTCTTGTTGAAATGCTATTCATGTTTTAAAGGCTGTCTGCACTATGAAGCATAGGAAAAACCAAACAAATCAGTGTAATCTAAGATTTGATGTTAAAGCAGCCACCTAGGGCTATTAGATTTTCATCACATAGGGGAAGAGAGTCCTAACATGATTTAGGTTTGAAATTCCTCAAAACCTTACACACCTTGTAATTCTCAGATAACTGTAATGCTAAAAAATGTGACACTGTTGACAAAAGCATTACTCAGAAAGGTGTTTTTTTTTTAAGTTGTTAACTATTGAGACACTTTTCAGCATTACTGAGACACTGAGCAATGATTTGGATCAAAGCAAATGAGATTTGGACAGGGCAGCAACCAAACCCTCCCCCCCCCCCCCAAAGTAAAAGAAGTCTTCGAAAATAAGGACAAATAAATAATTCCATGGTCAAGACAAAAATTAACACATTTTGCCAGAACATGTGACATCATTTTAGTTCATAAGGTTAGCATGACAAAATATGTTATTTCTTGTTCCCCTTTCCTAAACTCTCTGGCATAATGGCTGACAAACACAAAGTGTGCAGCATACATCACCTGACTCAATAGTGCAGTTTGAGTTAGTCTATCGTAAGACCTTTGACTTTTGTGTTAGCATGCTCTTAAATTGGGATGCTGACATTTCATGTGTTCCATTCCTAACTCCCCTTTTTTTAAGTACACATTATTGTTCAGATCCACACATGCTGGTTTATAAAAGGAATATTGTCTCTCTGAAATACTGATACCTTTTTTTTGCTTCTGCCAGAAGAATATTTTTAAAAAACAGCACAGTGAACTTTAACAATAGATTTTCTTCTAATAAGATGACCTCCTAATTCTATGAAAGAACATTTTACATATGCCCTTTAGAACAAACAATGGTAAAGCACAAAACACACATGAATCCTAGCAACTGTCATATGGAATGGCCAGTGGGTGTGTGCCAAGTGCATTCAGAAATGACAGGATAGAGCCTGCTCCTTTTCCTTTTATGGTATTATCATTGCAAAGGAAGAGATATTTTACAGTTTCAGCATAACTGCCTGCTGTGATGGTCCAAAGCTCACCTTCCAATGGCTTGGGTAGAAAATGAGCTGCTGGTTTTGTTTTCTTCACTCTGTTTCCTTTCATGACCTGCCCTTCCTTATTAAGCCCCAGGAACCAGGCCCTACCCGACTCTTGTTGTCGATAGAGCATGGATGAGTAGATTACATAATAATTTTCAAAAACGGATTCCTTAAACTTGCACTCTGGTGTAAAAAGTTCCTGTGGGAGAAAGGATAACAATTAGTTCCTACCGCAAAAGAGCAATGGTTGTTGGTGAGATTTTTTTCTTATGTTTTCCCTCCAATAATGCACTGGGGTTAGTAAGGAAATGGCTGTACAATTGAGCCCTATAATTCTAACAGATGTGGTGTCCACAGTCAGTAAATAATGGTTTACAGGCTATGAAAAGTCTTATCTTCTAGGCATACAACTGACAACATTCCAACACTAACATTTCTTTCCCAGCCATTTACAGAGAGTACAATTTGGACCAGCATGTGGAAACTATAAACACAGTTTCCACAAACAAGATATTGAGCTCCTTAAGTCAGTGGTCTCTTTTGCCTCAGGACTTCAGGCTTGATTCAAGTTGTTTCAAGAATTTGAGAGAGAGCTGGCTGTGATGCCCTTCTTTCTTCTTCAAGTCACAGACAAGGAGGAACAAAGGCAAAACAAAAGACAAATTGAAGCGCTAGAGAAAATGTCTATTAAATACTTGTGCCATTCAACATAATACTTGAATCATACTAGTCATTGTTCTAGGCTGCTGGAACAACAAAGGAATATAAGGCTCAATGGAAGTTAGGAGCTAAATTACCTTTGAGAATATTGTCCAACATGCCTATACCTCACTGCTAATCACTTCCTTGACTATACACTGTTTCTTTTCTTTAACTGAATAACCCCCCCCCCCCATACATTGCATCTGTCCCCAAGCTCTTGCTTCCTTATAATCTTAAATCACAAGCAAATGCTACAATTTGTTTTCTGTATTACAATACAATGTATTAATTTTGGCTGGCCAGTTTGTTGCTCTCTTTCAGTGAAGAATGAAAAGGACAATGCTTTGGCTGCAGGAACAAAAGATCTGAACCAGGCTTGGTGGGGAAATGATGAAGAGACCTTTAGGTGAGTTTGTTTTATTTTTGTTTTTAGGCATAAGGTTAACCTGCTAAGCTTAAACTTTACAAAACATATTATGATTTTGTTTCACATGTAACCACTTGCTTTCAACATTATTGCTCATTATTATTAGAACAGCTACTCTTTGATAGTAAATTTAGTCTTGTTTTCATTATAAATTTATAGCAGTATGTTAGTGTTAAGCAAAGTGCCAGTTTTAAGTTGAATCTTGCATACTGGTATGTACTCTTCCTTTTAGGGTTGCCAGATGGTTTCAACAGAAATACTGGACACACTTGACATTACATCACCATCTACATTACATCTTATTTAGAAAATACCAGACATTTATATTTTCTCAATTTGTTTCCCCGAACAGAAAGCTCAAATACTGGCTGTCTGGTTCAAAACCGGACACCTGGCAACCCTAATAAGGGACTGGACATTGGAGGGAACTCCCCATGGGCAGTGGGAGACCTCATGGCTTGGGGAGGCAAGCTCCCCGTCCCCCACTCACCAGAGTCCTTCTCCCCCCCACTGTAGCTTGCTGTCCCCTGCCCAGACTCCACCCTCCAACCCCTCATCCTTGCAATGTGGCTGCTGGCTCTTGCCTCCTCTCTGCCCCAGGGTAGCCTCCCCAAACTCCGCCAGTCCCAGAGCTTTGGAGAGCCAGTGGGTGGGATGGCCCCATCCTGCCCCTCCCCCAGAGCTCCAGAGAGCAGGCCAGCAGGTCTGGCACAGGGATGGGCATGGGCAGGACCAGGTGAGGCAGTGTGGGAATGCAGTGCTTTCCCCTGCCTAGGATACTCGCCACCCATGGAACTCCCTGGCTGTGTCTAGACTGGCCAGTTTTTCAGGAAAATGAGCCACTTTTCCGGAAAAACTTGCCAGCTGTCTACACTGGCCGCTTGAATTTCCGCAAAAGCACTGACTTCCTACTGTAAGAAATCAGTGCTTTTTGCGGAAATACTGTGCTGCTCCCGTTCAGGCAAAAGTCCCTTTTGCGCAAAACTTTTGCGCAAAAGGGCCAGTGTAGACAGCTGAGATTTGTTTTCCGAAAAAAAGCCCCGATCGCTAAAATGGTAATTGGGGCTTTTTTGCGCAAAAGCGCATCTAGATTGGCCACGGATGCTTTTCCGTTAAAAGCATTTCTGGAAGATCATGCCAGGCTAGATGTAGCCACTGAGTATCCGGGTGCTTGTGTGGGCCTGTTGATAGCTGCACAGGGAGGCCTGTGGGGGCCTAGAAGGCAGTGCTTGTGCTGCCAGAGGCTCATGGTTTCAGGCCTAGACAGGACTCCCTCATGCTAAAAGCCAGGACTGTTGCGGTGCCTCACAACCCTGGGCAGTGTCACACATTCCTAACGAGGCTTTCAGGTATTCTAACTAGGCTTTAGCAACGTGTTGGAGGAGAGATTTGAAGGAGGTCAATGAGGCAGTTTTGCAGCCCCTCCCAAGCATAAGGTCTGCATAGGAGAACACGTTAATGTCTTCCTTGACGTTTTTTAAATGCGCAAACAAGCCAGGCCTCTTTTGTGGAATGAAGATGGGGCTGGCATCTTGATACCTTATAAGAGATTATAAGTACTAGCATTACTCCTCCCGTTGTGACAGTAGACACACACTCAAGTTGGCCTGGTGTGCTCCTGCCTGTCTCAGGGTCACGAGGAGTAACGGTAGTTCGAACTAGGAAGCCTAGTTTGAACTACCTAGTTCGTGCCCCATGTAGCCGCACTGCACGGGGTTTGAACCAGCGGGGTTTTAAAAATGGCGGCACCCCACTTATGCAAATGAAGCCCGGGAAATTCAAATCCCGGGCTTCATTTGCAAGTGCGGTATGCCTACATTACCCCGCTAGTTCGAACTAGGAGGGTAGTGTAGACATACCCTGTGTGATCACTTCTTACTGGGTTCTTTGGCCTTGTATTATATTGTATTCCCCTCTCTTTGTCCCTCTTTCTCCCAGTCTTCAACCTACTCAGTGTTTTTTCTTCCTGTAGTTTGCATCCTATTCTTCCCTCCCCTGCTCTGCCATCACACGGCTCACCCACTAACTCACTGGCAGCCACTTGTGTTTTTCTCCTGCACGCCCCATTGTGCTACTTTTTAAGCCTCGCATCCCGCTTTGGTGTCGGGGAGAGGAGGAAGAAACAGCAGACACCAACCCACACCAATCTACCCCATCCTACTGTCAAGTCTTCCAGTGTGTTCTCAAATGTTCTCTGTGACAGACGGCATGATGGACACTTCTCCTTTTATAATAGGTTAGCTAATGTGGGATAGACTGAGAAAGCCCTTACACTGAAGACAAGTGATTTGTATCTGATTTAATGAATAAAGTGAAGGCTGTGGAGACACACAAAGAAGGGGGTGACCTGGTCAAAGTGGTGAGTCAGGAAAGCTCTTTGCATCATCTTTTGAGCATACATAAGACAACATAGGATTTAGCAAGGCCAGGGAAGAGGAGGTTGCAGTGATCTTTATTATAAAGGACTGGAGAATCTCCTGAACAACTCCACCCTCACCAGCCTCACCTACATCTGGTCCAGACTAAGGTTCCATCCTTTTGGTCCCATCCATGTTCAAGCTTTGATCATTCACAGGGAAGTGAAAACTGTTTGGGCTCAAATGGCAGGGAAATCAAGAGCTACATGCTATCTACATGCTAAGGGCAGGTGTGATTGATCCACTGGGGTGAAGTTCCTGCACTTCATGCCCACTGGAGCCCAGCCCAACTCCTGATTTTGTGGCTGCTGACTCCTGTCACAGGTTAGTACCTCTGCCCCAGAGCACCATCAGGCAGCACAGTCTCAGACTTCCTGGCCCTGAAGTCAGGCAGCGTGGCTCCAGTCTCTCGGATCCAGAGCACAGGGTTGTCAGGCAGCACAGACCCAGTTATTTGGCCCCAGAGTTGTCAGGCAGCATGGCCCCAGCCCTCCCAGCACTTGAGCATGGGGAGACTGGGCAGCTAGACACGGGAGAGCTGGAAGCAGGAAGGGCACATGGGGGCACAGTTTGGACAGGCCACACCTGGCTGTGTGTATCTGCCTCTGGAACCTTCTGCACCTAGTTAAGGGCATCATTGTTCAAATTATCTATCTCCCTTTGTGGCATCCTACACACTAAACCTGAGGTGAGAAAATACATAGGACTCCACAGGAGAGAATGCTTTGTACAGTGGAGTATTGTGGTACATCTGTAGAAGAGAAGAGATGAATCATTCAGCAACATTCTTGTCTATCTCAATGAGAATCACTGATATCTCAGCTGCTGGAAGGGTCAGAGGACTAATTCAATAGTCTGTCACTAATCAGGAAAGCACTTATGTAGCGCTGAACTGGTGCCTAAAAGAATCAGCATGGAAACACAACTTCTGAACAAGAAATCACGAACAAGTGAGACAGGCAGAACTTCCATGCTGTGTCTAAAGCTGACAGCCAGACTTTAAGATTCTGAAGCAATAGGAAGATTCCACAGATTCAGAATTTCTTTGTTATTTCTCAGTGACTTAATGACTGACTTTGCCCAAAAAGAGAAGGCTACAGATAAAGCAATAACTGGTTAAACTGCCAACATTCAGAGCTTGTCTTCAAGCAAGAGCCTACGTACCACTCCCTTGAGGGAAGCTGCCATGGTGCTCTTTCAAGGGAACTAATCAGCAGGGCTGATGATTGTAGTTAACGCAAACAATTAACTAAAACAAATTAATTATGATATAATTCTACTGTTAAACAATAGAATAACAATTGATATATATTGAATATTTTTATTTCAATTACAACATAGAATACAAAGTGTACAGTTCTTATTATATTTGCACTGTAGAATGATAAACAAAAGGAAGTGTTTTCAATTCACTTCACACAAGTACTATAATGCAATCTCTTTATTGTAAAAGTGCAATTTACAAATGTAGATTTTTTTTGCTACTTAACTGCACTCAAAAACAAAACAATGGAAAATTTCAGGCTTGGTGGTATGTACACATCACTTAGAAAATTAACCTCATGTGGCTAAAGTCAATGTAAACTCCTAGGCTTTGTCTACACTGCAGGGTTTTTGCACAAGAACCTTTTTGCGGAAGAGATCTTTTGCAAA